CGACACTAGTGAGTTTACCTAGTTTCAACCTTAACCATATTTCTGAGACAAAACCTGCCACCTCTCTCGACTTCTAATTCTTCTACGTCTATCTGACATTCTGTCTTCCTGACATTCTGGCTTGTCCGGTCAGTTTGCAAGAACGAAGGGGAAGTAGACTCTGGGAAAATCTGATCACGAAAGAAGCGACTAAAAAGATCGCTACCACAGTGGGGATGGAGGGATTTTGAGCGTTAGCACCATGGTTAAACCCTGACGGAGCTTTTGTTTACATTATCAACATGAAAAAAGCTCCCCTCAATTTGATATGTGTGAGCCTAATGAGTTAGAGATTCATACGAGAAATTGATCTAGTGGGTGCCTAATGCGCTCTTAGGCATGAGAAGGTCTGCCTTTAGCTTGTTTTATATTGGTAAGAGGGGAAAAAACGGAGCACATTTAGTTTAAAAGGGCTAACAGAATAATCCAAGGCAATGACGCAGCTAGGAGAGACGAGGCATGGGCTGCCTGTGGAAAGATCCAGCCCAGAAGAACGGCACATTCAGATCAACCGGGCAAGGCATACAGCGGTCTCTTGAAGCAAGTCAAGGAGATGACACGACAAAGTGAGCACATTATTTTTTATTTTGCCTACCAGCTATGCCGCTGGTAAATTCAAAGTTGTTTTGGACCCGATTTTTAGAAGAGATCAAGGGTATTTTATATTAAGTAGGACAGCAGCTTCAAAAATAAGGAAGTTATTTATGGACTGCGAAAGTGTGCTGGTGTATGGTATCTAGAAACTATTCAGAGGCTGTTCAAGATGCCAGCGAAGTAAACTAAAACGGATATGGCTACGTTAGTACGAGCAGGAGGACACAAAGTTAGGCTGCTGGGCTACAGAACTTACGGCAAGCACGTGAATTCACGTACGACGTGGACCGATTTATGAGTATATTTTGGTGTAACAAACGGTGTGGAAGAGTTTCAGCTAGAACCCTCTGAGCCAAAGTGGCTCAAAGTTGCAGTTTATGCAGCTAAAAGGGCGAAAGGAAGGGCGCAGTGTGTTAATAACTTTGTGATGAATGAGCCCTGCAACGTCAGGTATAAGGGAAAAAAGGGTGCTGGGAAAAATTCCGTAATTGGTCATACGTACTGCTTGGGAATGGCCAACCTGGTGTCCCGAAGATGAAAGCAATGCAGTATTAGATATCAGAGCGTACGTGCTTGGGTGACCGGGACGTGGACCTTGTGAGAAAAGCTTAAAGTACATCAGTATCGGAGGTCTAGGTGTTTGAGCTCTTTGGGATGAGCAACTTTGTTATCGATAATTGTGAACACATCAGCCGGGAGAGAGTAGCATTGAAAGTTATTCAGGAATCGACAGGAGAGAAGCTTAATTAGAAAAGAATTAGAAAAGCAGGTCAGAGACCATAACTCGTTAAATTTGGATAAAGGCAAGTGTTCAAGCAGAGTAAAGAAATGTGTAGTAATTAACGTATATCTAGAATGGTGCGATACGGTCTATTTCTTTATAAAAAATAAAACCGTGTCCTCTACAATTAAAGGTTTTACGAAACTAATAGGACTCTGGTATCCCATTGATGCACAGAGCTTGTTGTGTTCGTCGTTCTTTCTTTTGGAATTGCCTATAACTTGGAATGAACTCTCCTTTTTCGCCTTTCAGAAAATATTCGATTCAGAATCAAAGAAAGTCCTGAAATAGATATCGACGTGGGATTTTTTCTGAGCGTAACCCGATGCTATCCGTCAGCAGATGCTATTTTCTAAAGGTCCCGGCAGGGATTCTGGGAGTCATACCTAGACCTGGCACAAGAGACTTTGCATATTCTTTATTAGCCAATCTCGTCAATACCGTCCAGGAGGCCATTGTGCACCTACGATCTTAGTGAACCGTAAAGGCTTGAACTCTTCTCCTAAATAATGGCTTCGCAGGCCTGAAGAGAGACGAGCGCATCGAATAAGGTACTCACTGGGATCAAAAGAGCGAATCGGTCTGGATCACTCGGTATACTTACTTTAAAGGACGAGAATAAGAAACTACATGACGGGTGTACATAGAGGCCCCTGAGAATCGAACCCCCTAAGTTTAGAGAGCATTCTGTATATAGTGAAACCCTTGTACTGCCTTTGGGAGGCACAGAGACAACATGGTAGAAAGGAAGTTACTTTATAATGTGATGGAAACTCGGACATGATTATCTGCACTTCCCAGAGGCGTCTGGATTTTCAGTGTTTGAATTTATGTTAGCTAAACCCAGCAACTTCCATAATCTCTCTTATTTTTCGAAATACTAGATTTTTGCAGACCAATAAGCTTAACAGTTGTACTGATATGACTCAAAAATTTGTGTGTTTGACTTCAAATGAGTTCGTTTAGAAATTGATGACTGTCTGTATCACTGCATTTAGAAGTGTGTTAAATGAATACCTAAAGGATAACTAAACGGTATTCGTGCTTACGAAGGATGAAATCGTACAAAACTTAACCAACGATGCTGGTGGGTGTACTACAAAGTCCCCGGTGACCACCAAAACCAAGCGAAATACGGGAAATCGAAATAAATATCAAATTGAGCGCATTTGTAAAAAAAACTGTATACAAAAACACCTGCTCTTCCGTATGGTTTTGTCTAACGATACAATGAAACCATTTACAAGTCACTTTTTCATCTTGAAAAAACCATAAAGTGATCAATGTTATTCGCACTCGGCCTCCTGTAATAGGACGGCTAACCGAATGGGGGCTGGGCACCCGCTTAGTCCTGTTGGAGTTTGTAACGGCGTCGTGTTAAGCACAGTAGTTTGCAGCAGACGAATTTGGCAAGGTCCTTGACACTCAGGTTATCTACAGCCAACTCTGGGATTGTTGACCTGCTCTGTTGAGTAAGTGATAAATGGTCGGGTATTGTTTCGGCGGATGGTATCTTTTCAGTCCCAGCTAAGCCATGTGGGCCAGGACGGGTGCTTGTGTTGCAACCGGGAGAAGGTCATTATGGCCGCACCTCCCTTGCCGGATGGCGGCAGATGGGGCTGTTACCAACCTTCCCAGACGTCTTCAGTGTCGATGGAACGCCCATGAAGAATCACTGTGTGTCGTTTCAGCGCGCCTATGTGTAGGCCATAGATATAAGCTCTGAAACTTCCTGACGAGAGATGGCGTGGGCTTTCGGTCACAGCCGGCCTGTTTGGAAAGCGAGCGGCTTGTTTTAGTGTGTAAAATTGCTTACCGGTGAGGTAATGAGCGAAAAGTGCTGAGTGAATTACATCGTCACGGACAACTAGGGGGCATAAACGTGGATGGCCAGTGTTGTGTTCTGCTACTATTTTACGTTGCGCGATTTCCATATTTTCAAACAAATCAGGTAGCATGTTTGTATCCTACGGTATGCACGCACTTTGTCATGGACACTCCTTGTACAGCCGACATATATTTAACCTAACGGTTCACCAAGTTAATGCCCCACAGTATGTCTCTTGTTTGTCATATTACTGGCGCATAGGTTTCATCAAGTCCCGGAAGTACCGCGCCGCAACCGTGTTAGCTATGTTCTGCTGTGATTGACGTAGGTCGTCTCTCCACTCGTCTAAGCATCATGAGTCGCTAGCCACATGTTTGTCGTACATGTTTTCTAGGTTTCCACGCTGTACTGTCCAAGTAAAGAATTCTCCGTTGGGCAAATATAGCTAAGAGTTATAGTCTTCCCATTGATTTGGGGTGGGGTTCAGTGGTTTGCCCTATAATAGCAGCTCCTTATGTTTATCTAAAGCCATATGCTGTCTGACAACTACCTTGGGCCGGCTACGGAGAAAGTGTTGTTCTCCGCCATTTGTTCAGGGGAATTATCCAGTGGGTTAACATGACCTTTATAGTTCCATGGCGATATCAAACAGTTTACCAGAAAGCCCGACCCTGGGACACAGCTCATCTAATTTCGGTGACGGCATTTTCGCCCTTTATCCGTTTATTGGAATGCAGTGAGCAAAGCCGATGCTGTAAAGCTTACACTCCTTACACATCGTTATCAAAGGTCATCGAGTAATTCTACCACGAAGATTATTCAGAATAACATCTATCGAGCTATGAGGACACATGCTTCCGAGTCGAGTTTGCCAGGAGCGACCTTCTCTCTTAATTTGTGTCAGCGATTGTATTGTGGGTTGTAGCAAGCTTCACAAATTACTATAATCGCAGAACTACCTTTCGCTCTTTGTTCATTATAGGTGTTAACATTTTCCGGCAACTTGGGATATTGCGTTTCATCGGGCACTTTTTTCAAGTTCGAAACAGTTGTCGACTTTGAAAAATCGCTCACTTGAAAAAATAATCTGCACAGATAATTTTCAGGAGCACATTGAAAAGAGACATTTGTGACTATGATGTGGTAACCTTGAAGATATCGTAGTCGCTATGAGGTCAACCCTGTTCACTGGATATCAATCGGTGGGGTGGTACATCTGGAGTCCTGCTCTAAGCGCCGGTGTCGCAGTCTACCGGGCAGCCTCGAATGACAAGCGAAACGCCTTACAAGTCTTCCCGATGATTTGGCAAGGAAGACGAAAGAGGAATGAAAACAGTCAAGAACAAGCGAAGAGAGAGAAGTGCGCAGGAAAGAACGGGAAGTTTAAAAATAATTAAGAAAAGGCAGTCAGAATTTGGGCATGCTAATCTTTGAACTGTGGCAATCTGGTTACGCTTCTGCTCCCAGGATAGACATCTGGACTGGCTTTATGGAACTGTTTTGATCTCCCAGACCTCTTGGGATTCGGAACCCGATAGTGAATCACTTCATTTAAACATTTTCGACACACTAGGAAATGCATACGGTGTCAGTCGCACTGTCTACGACCAGTCAGGAAGAGGAAGTGACTATAATGGGCTTTTCAGACCTTTCCGATTTTCTTCCTTAACGGTATGAACCCAACTCATTTTTCTCGTGTTTTACCTCACCAATTTTACATTTAATTTCCGGCCTCGTGATATCTCATAGTTCCGCGAAATGGAACGAATTTCCAATTTGGTGACTCTCTTGAGTCAGTCATCGCAGTTGGCGCGGCATACACACATGATGAAATTATACCAAGAGCTAATTAACTCCGATGTATTGGAACCTGACATTATTCGGGATGTTGTCAGTTGCGTCGGTGGTTCCTTGAGTGGTATATCATATGAAGAGCTAGCTTCTATCTTCGATCCGCTTTTACGAATAATTGGTAATGTTCATATCATTAAGATACACAGAACTCAAGTGTTTTGTTTTGATTATTCCACTAGCCGCACAGGAATCATGCCAGATAATATACTGAAGCTAACTTTAGAGAATCTTATCGAGGTATTTTGTGTCGATGTATTGACCGAACTTATCTGTTAGACTGTAGCTTCCATATCCCCAAAAGGTGAGACTTATGGTTTTTCCTAGCTTTCAAGCTTCCTGTGCTGTCCTTAAACAGTTGCTTCCGAAAATGCTCCGGATTTGTTCAGATTCGTCAACTGAGCTTGTTGGACGCTTCGATGTGAGTCAAAACGATCTACCTGTTTGTCGTGTGCAATTTAATGCGTATATGTACACCTAGATGCATAATCTGTCTCAAAACTTTCAGTAAAAGTGTTTTGACTCATTTCAGTTTGACTTAGGTCAGCCACATTTGCCAAGAATTCGCGGGCTCTAGAAGCTGTGTCAAGTTGATTCATGGATTTTGCTAGGTATCCTACTTGGTCCCTTCGAACCGTTCTAGCTGTAAACGCCATAAAATGATAAGTGCGGTCATTTCTATTTTTTGGTAGCTTGGTTAGCCCAAGCAACTTTATTAAGGGTGGAATTTCACTAGATAAACCCTCACACCGCACTTCAAACCACTGAAAAAAAACGAACACTGGTTAATGCGCATTATATGGACAGTTTCTTTAGCAAGTATGTGCTTAGAATCCTCTGGCGTATTACTTTTTCGTTGCACAGGCTTAGTGATTCGACATTTTCGCAATGATTTCCACCAGTGATGTGGTGAGTGTACAACTGAAATGACCCAAGTTCGATCGGCGGAACGTTGTGACATTTGATAACCACTTAGTCTCAGTCACGAAACAGACATGCTCTGAAATCGCCAGCCGATCTAACTTACCAAGATTACAAACTTGTTTATAGTTCCACATTCCACCTGTTTTCTCATGTTATTAGTCCTAATCAGTGATAAAATGGCTGAACTACCATCATTTGACCAGTACGTTTATTCTAAGTGTTCGTAATATTTAACCCTTGGCTTGCATTATTATCTTCTGTTACGTATGGGTTGCTATGGTCGTTTTTGCCGCTTACTTTTTACCTACTTGCGACGTGACTCGTTTATCGCTCTATCACGTTGCGGGTGATTGCGCCTAAGACTTTCTGGCCGCTTTCTAATAATCGTTTATTGTAGTCGCACTAAACATCCACAATCCCATTTTCTCCATGACTAATAACCCCCCCCCCAAAAAAAAAGCGTTGCGGGATATTTCGTTTCTCACCACAACCACACGTCTCGTAAGTGTAACTAGACCCTTAACAGAACATGAATTCATCAATGTAGAGTTCTAAATGGCTGACTTAAAGGACCATAAATTAACTGGTGTCACATAATTATCTGAACACACCTAGTTAAGTTTTAGCAATATTTTCCTGGCTATGCCGCCTCAAATTATCGGGGAGTTCTTACACCATCCTTTTAGCGGGTACGTGAATGACATGTGGATAGGCTGGAAACCTGGTTTTGGCTTGACGAACTTTTCAACTTTTTGCATTAACGTGTAGTTTCATTCACCTAAGCCCATTATCTGCTCAAGCTTTTCGTAATACTGGGATTCGATCCTCATATGTTTTGCATGTAAGGATAGGGTGCCACTACCAACTAGAACCGTCATCATAGGATGGTCCAAATGAGTGACTTGATTGCAAACCCTACAGAGCTTACGACCGATCGTAGATAACCAAACAGAAGTGTCCAGCAGGTTTCAACGTCGCCAGTAGAATCTTAATTTAGGGTCACGATAGGCTTTTCGTTCAACGGATACAACAGAGACACTTGCTGGGTTGTTCATGGCATCGGGTAGACCAGTAACGTTGCTCAAAGCACGAAGGCCCTCGTCTGCTCAGACCTGATAATTTGGGTTCGTCTTCACATTGTGCTAGAGAAGCAACGAATGATTGCCTCGTCTTTTATGAATCTCGCCGCTGTCGAAGGTGTGCTTTGCTGGTGAGACTCAACGGGCCCAAAATTCGAGTCCGTTCTGATTATTTTTGGATAGGCAAATCAAAGTACTTGCAGCATGAGGGGGTGGACTGATTAAACGATATTTCTACGGATGCAGATAGTAGAAAGCCCGCAACTATTGAGAGTTAGTGAATCGAGCAGCATAATAACTGCCTGTCTAAGTCTTCTGACTTGATCGCGAATAGAGCTACGATTCTGGTGAACCGAATTTCTTATAAACTCGCTATGTCAATCACTACACAATATTATCGTGTGTCTAGTATTTTCGGAAACGCTTGTCACAGTTGTCTTGATTTGGTCGAAATTCTATAAGGCTACGCTGTCATGCATTTCAGATACTAGCAACACTAAATGTGATATTATCATCCATCCCAAGCGAATGCAGACGGAGTTTGTGGAGCATAGAAGATCTAAAATCATCAATGTAAGCATCATCTCGTTTTATCCTCTTAATCGTTTAGCAACACATTCGCCACTTTCTTATCATCCATGGGAGATTTTGATTTGCAGGCCCACTCGGCGGCTTTGTTGCTGAGACTTGTCCCACACGACTATCAAAAAGAACTTTCGGCAAAATATATAGCTCCCGTACCACATAAATTCTCCCGCGATTTCTCAAAGGTTGGTGGTGAATGTTTTGAAAAGGTGAGACCGTGTATGCAAGCAATTTTTTTGAGTGTCTTTGGATAGGTGCGTTTTTTATTTTTCTTTGGCTGAATTTACAGCTTTTCAGAATGTCCTTCAACTAGTGCTAAGTCTGCAAAATACGATGCTGTTTTTTAAGAACAGAGCTTTTCTAAAACGAATTCCTCATTAGTTTCACAATTACTCCTATAAATTCAACTAACCATTCGTCTTTTAACTCGCGAATTTAGTAACACCCTATTGTAAGTTAAGGTGCGGTACTCACGTCTCTGGTTTGGTGCTTACTTCATCTTCCTGTATGACTACACGACAACAACTGATCGGCGCGGAGTGCATGGAGCATACTCCGTAAAACTTCTTGGGTATACTGAATTTCGGTATTACTAGATCTTTTAAGACTAGAGTCGCACGAAAATACCCGGTGTAGTTTTGCTGTTTTGAAGTCTGTTAACTCTTCTGTTAATACAACTAGTTTGGGCGTTGCTTTTGCAAATATTTTTTCACACATGACCAACACTGAAGCTGTTCTGCCAAAATGGCTGATGCGAATTAGTAACAGATACGTTACTTGATTTTGTTCATGTGTCACCTCACTGCACTTTAGACCGCTCCGTGCATAATGAAAACACGTACCTAGAATGTGCGCGTCACCAGCAGTAAAGGGCTAAATCGTTCACTTTCCATAACAGCCCGATTTAACGTAAATGTCGCCTTTGGTCCAACATAAATGTTCAATGTTCCTAGCTTCTTATGGCCGGCCAAGTTGTCGTAATGATTTTTCATAAGTCAATGACTGCTTTGGTCGTCTCCTTGCACATGATCTTCTTTTATATTCGTTCTATTGCACGTCATTTTCCCGGGCAATCATTTGGTCATATCACCCACTTTGACCGCTGCATTGCACACATCACATTTCGACCTGAACATGAGGTTTGGAATTTGGGTTAGTAACCTCATAAGTTGCTAAGTTTTACGTCGTTCTCTCTACTAAAAGAGCAGGGAAGCCAGCAGTTGAAGAAATAAGTCGCACTACGAAAGACTTCTCAGAGCCTACAGCGCTGAACTTGTAGATGACCATATGTATGAAGCTTACTGAGGTAGTGTCCTATTCCTGAGCACGAATGGTATGTGAACGATCATCGTGAGCATGGTGCATCTTGGAACATGATATTGGTTGAAGTCCTAATTCAATTGCCCAGCTGCTGAAAGAAGCATTGTACATTCTTCGGTGATTTTTTCCACATGGCTGAGTCCTGCTGTTTCTCTCTAGTTCACCGATTGAGCGTGTGGAAATATATGCCGTATCCTCCTCATATATAGGCAGGTTTAATATGCCACCCACCTGTTCGCCTGAAAAAAACGAGGTTCCCCCATTTGTATCTCTACAGTGCCCATTGCAGCCATATGATCGTAAAATTTTCAACTTCAAAATGAACTTTCTAGTTTCAGTATGACTGTAGGAGCTTGCGTTAATTCCATAAGGCTGTTGTTCTTTTACATGGTACATTAATTTGACTAATCTGTGAGCGATGAACTCTCATCTTTCAAGAATCTAGCCTCCATAACGCTCCTTTAAAAACGTACCTTTTTGACCGTTTTGAACTCAGAATGACTTTATCGGCACTTCACACTGTACAGGTTGCGTAGTAGATCTTATCGTGATATTTTCAAAAGTAGAACGTGAAATCAAACATTCCTTGGGTTGGCTAATCTCCATTTATGCGCCAACCAAACGTGTTATCAAGCGTCACAAATCAAACATCTATCTTGCCTTCCATTTTTAAAGCGTCACAAATCAAACATCTATCCTGCCGTTACATTTTTAAATGATGCTTACACGGTATTTTGTTTAATTTTCAGGGTATTCGTACTTTTTTGAATGAATTAAACATGCTTAACGGAAAAAACCCAGGGTAAGTGCGTTGATTTCATTACTATTGGTACGCTTATTTCAGAGTGGTCTCTCTACCTTGCTCGGAGCTCAAACTGTGTGATTTGGTTGTAAGTCTTACAACAGTATTTTTAAGACTTATTGTTTTTTATCCGACGACTCTGCGTGGAATTAATGTGGCGTATGCTTTGTACACATACATATATTAATTGTACCCGAATTCTTCATTTCAGCGTCTATAATGCAGTGGAATTCCTCGTGGAACCATCATTTTGATGTCACTTTGAATAAGAGGGCGTCTTAAGATGGATTCGCGGTGTTCCCTTCAGACGAAGTCCTCTCATCTTAAAAAGCTGCCTTGTTCCGATCTCGCGACTCATCATCCTGCTGGTGTGCAAAACATCTGGTCCCCTGAGGTAGACGACTGGAATGAGGGTTCACTACTCCCAAAGATAGGTTACCTTTATTCAAGAACTCCAACGCTGAATCGGATGGTGATGATTTTTGAGCTGGGCTTTACGCTGATGGTCATCAAAGAGGATTAGTGCCAGTGCCGACTTTGCCTGACTACTGAAGCTATCGTGCGAAGATATGTATTGCCGTAGATTATAATATTTTCTGTGAAGCTTGGACCAAGCGGTGGTCCGTCTAGGTGTTGCTGACAGCGCCGAAACCTTAGCGAGCGGACTCGCCAGATAACGACTCGTTTATGTGGCTTTTGATTCAACCGTACTAGTCTTGGATGTCGGATTATCACGTAATGATACATGCTATTCTTCTAACCGTCAAAGCTAACGTGAAAATCACTTAAATCAGAAGGACGACAGGAGGCACCGCTGTGAGAAAACTAACGGTGGGCTAACGGTATCGTTAGAAAATTCTTCACTGTAGCTTGGGAGTTACATACAGCCTCTATAGCTTACCAACAAGTCGTTTAACGTAAACAGGATAGCGGGAGTGACTGGCTGCTCAGCAACAAAGATAAAAAATCGTTCGGCTGTAGCACCCTTTCGTTACCTAGCTGTCATGCCTACAGAAGGAGGCACAAGGGCTGGGATACTACCAAGTTGCCCAAGCCTAGTCAGGAGAGGTCGCGTTCGAACCACGATCCTTCCAGCAAGTACATTCGCACTCCAATCACTGCTAAATGTTAAAACCTGAAAGCCAACAAGTTGATTTTCATACTGATCAATCACTATAGACTGTAAATTTGCGCGATCTCTTTAAATTGCATCCCATGACGTATCACCCAGGTCAAGATCAAGGTTTATTCGTCAGCATTGGACGTGCAACTGGCACGGATAACTGGAGTAGGTCACAGTCGTGTTAATTAGCGTGACGAGAAGCTTTATTCACTATTCGGTTCCATGTAGCTAAGCGTGCCGCTTCAAGGAGTTGACTTAGCGTCAAGAAGTTAGTGAATGCCTATAGATATATTGAGACGATATCTGCACCTGTTCGGTGAGGTAACGTTATTTAGGTGTATCGATTCTGACTGGTGTATTTAGGATTATTTTGTCCTCGGATCCATACAGAACTACTTTATTCCACGCATGTGGATGGCCGTGGATAATTCTTACGTGATCAGAGGATATTAATTATGTAAAAGATAAATCTGAGGATAGTAAAGAAACCCGGACAATGATGCATCAATAAGCCCTTTCGTGCCCTTTTCATAATGACACAATCTGTGAATTAGACGATGTGTAACTCGGTGGAAGATTGGGAAAGGGACTAAGAGGGTTTTTGGTGTACTTGCCGCGACCAATCTTCCAGGACAAAGTCTTCTTGGCCCTCCCGACGCCTTGGCGGCGTCGCGTGGTGGATAAGCGTCATCAGTGGCATATTTTCAGTCTGTTTTCAGATTGTCTGACTGAACGTTTAAAAGGGTATTATAAATTTCTTGTTGTATGGCGACATGAAGCTCCTTCCTCGTCCATTTATCTTTTCCCACTAACTGAACTGAATACACTTTGTGTTTCTATGGCATTTGAGCCCCAGGGTCAACACGATGTTGCTGGTTTTTGACATTGATTAGCTGAAAATGACAGAACAGTAGACTCATTGTAAGAATGCGGAAACGATAGCACACCATACACCCCAGCTACTAATGCTTCATCGAAAATGGCGTTCTAAGTAGCTTTCTTTTTCTACTGACCACTGTAAGATAACTATGTCTAGTACCGTCTCATGTAAATAGAAAATGCATTGTAGTGTAAACGTTTAGTATGGTTTTCTCCACAAAGGGTGATTTTATTGTAACACAACCTAAGGATTGTGTCTCACCGAATAAACTTCTCCAGACGAGCACCCTTTGATCACATATATTCGATAAGATATACTGAGAAGTACTTGGGTGCCGCAATGATGCAGTGGGCGAGACTGGCTTGAAGTTCGTTTTGCAAAGTGCAACACCGCCTGAGAAGTCGAAGGGTAGCAACGAGAACCTATATTACGACTATTCTCTTTGTTAGGTGGATGAAGACCAAAATATCACGGAGGTTGCGGGGAAGCTTTTAACATCAGGCAATGAGTACAAAAGTACACGCGAACCCCTTAAACACCGGATTGTTACGAGTTCAGTGGAATGCAGACAGATCTTGTAGACACTGAGAGCTCAGGAGGTGAAGGCTATTTCCACAGGGAAAATTCACTCCTGTATCATTTAATTCGATCAACTGACCAAACGCCGACAACTTTGAATGGAAGGAAAAGTGATAGATATTCTTTGATCTTAGATAGTATGATGAAGCAATGAAGACAGTAATATTCATAATGATATTCTATGGCCTCTAGTTCAAATACCACCCTACGCATAAGAACCACTTAAACATAGGGGAAATACAACGTCCGTAAGATTTAGGAATGTTTCCTTGTTAAAACCGCTGGCCTTAAAGATTACAGTGCGTGGGTTGCTTTCGATTTTAAGTTGGCTGTATTGTCCTTTCTAGTTCGACTTTCGCACGTGTCACTTGCAACTCTACCCTCGAATGAGGGTACTTGGACGCATGGTATTTGCAACTAAAGCATTCTGCTGCTGTGAGTGAGAGGGTATAAAGGACTACATCCAACTTACTTATCTTGGTAACCTGGAAGGATGCTCCGTTGCTATTTGCCTTTGGCAACTCTCCCTTCATACCAAATTAAGCAAAGTTTGTTACTTCACTTCCTTCCAATAACAGTGTTTCAATGTATGAATGTATGATTAGTCGCAGGAATGCGATCAGTGGGGCATACGTAGACGGGGCATAGCNAAGGGGATCAGTGGAGCATACGTAGACGGGGCATAGCGTTTCACACGTGAGGGAAGGCATGAACAGGTGTTCTGTGTGTACAACCCAATTATGAGCTGTGAAAACAGAATCACTCCACATCGTTTTTGTTCGCGGGGTTTTGACGTAAGCAGTTGATTGTTGCTCTGTTATACCGGCAGCCAGCGTGCTTTTTTATGGCTATCGGCTGTTTTAGGAAGACTGCTACCTAACTGAGCCAGAAGGTATCAGCATTCATTATTTTCTAGCCGCCCACTCTTATCATCTGTATTATAACTGAGTACTCCGACATGCTTAGATCTGCTGACACCGATCTTGTAGCTCATTCTTCGACCAGTATTTAAGTTAATTCGATAGCAGTCTGCAAAACTATGTTGAATAACTGACCGACAGTCATTGCATAATTGTTAACTGACCCGCCTAGTTAATCAGTAGTATCCCAAACTTGGCTGATCACTTGGTTCGCTTCCAGAGTTTTGTCGTTAACTGCATACTAATCATGCGTCTAGCGCTCAATTGTATTTTCGGGACTTGCTTTCTCGAGATGAACTTGACCAACCATCTTCACTTTCCAGACCCTTCTGCTGAATTTCGGATAATCATCCAGTTAATTCATCAGTGGACGGCTAGCAGCTCACCGATCTATTTAACACCCACTCTATGCCCTAGTTATCAGTAGCTCATAATATTTATAGGAATTTTATTTCTTTGACTATAATTTAGAAATGATGTCATACTGTGTAAATTGACGTTATACTGAGTTTCCTCATTGTATCCTGGTAAGAATTACGGTTCGTTGGAAAATGTATCCCCAACCGGTCCATATGATTAGAATGCACGCTGACCAATCTAGTACACAGAACACATCGTAATGATCTTACAGTCGATCCTTACGACTTCTTCAGACTGTGACGTCACTTGTTTTCGGTCAATACTAAATAGTCTCGTTTGAAGAGAATGAATATATCATTATTCTTACCAACTATGCACAAATTCCAACCATCATACACTTGATATTGAGATCGCCGTTTGCAACCATCCTAGCCATATTCTATACGGCGTTTATTCTACAGCTTGATTGTCCCTCCATGCCCGGGGATTCATTATCAACCTTCTGGTTGGATTTCAACCTCGAATCGGAACGAATAACGTCCTATTGTCTGGGCCAATTTATTGATGGGGAGACACAAGTCTCGGTAAGCGCCTACCTTTTATTTGCATTCTGAGCTGCTACCTTCTTCTTTTTGTCACTCTCATCTTTGCTCAAAACTCTGTTACTTTCATGGTATCAATGTTTGGTAGTAAACTGTTCGTGTTGTCTATGCCGAACATGAGCATTCTCCAAGATCTAGGTGAATCAACGTACATGCTAATTGCTAATTTTGCCAGTTGATGTTTTGTTACTTTAAAATACATAACTGGCGGCCGAATCTTATAGTTAGCGGGATGTTCTGTCCAGACATATCAATTATGGGGTGTACCTGTTCCTCCAAAATAGCCGGCCGTGAAGCACTTAATTTTCCTCTGTAGTCCATGCCACAACAAAAAAGTACCCTGGTTTCTGCTGTAATCCCTTAAATCTGGGGATGAATTTGGCGGGGTCTTTTATTATGTGTAGTTTGTAAACGTCTAGCTCAGATGGAGGTTTTTGGTAGCATATGGATAATTTGCGAAACATCTTCGGATCGCAGGTCATTTCAGTTCATCTCTGAGAATATCTTAGTAGGTGTTTCACTTGGTGGAAGCTGTCTCCTTCACAAATACGGATGAAGTCATTCAACTCGAGGTAAATTTTCAGCACACAAATTCACGAAGATGTCTAGAAGTGAACAGAAAAAGCCGTTCTAACAAACTGTGTGCGCCGTAAACTAGGAGCAGCTGCGCGGGACTGGTCCGCAATAGGTCAGGGTTGACCGCAAAGTCTTAAAAAGGTCGCACTTTCTATTACTACCACAATGCACCCAGCTTCCTGGAATTGACACAAACCACAGGAATTCTGTAGGTTTATTTACCGGTGAATATTGATTTGTATTTGGAGTAGGTGACGTAGACTTTGCTGTTGATTAAGGAGGAAGCGGAGGATCTCAGAACAATATCCTAAAAGAGAAATTTGGACAAGTTTCATTTTGCATTCCCCATAAGTCCGAAGTGAACACTACTTAGTATTCCTGTGTATTTAGATCATATATATTATATATATATATATATTAGGGGCCCGAAAACGGCAATACTCTTTCATGAGTTGGTTCCGGAAGAGGACGGAGAAACGTTAGATCCAATGAAGAAATGCAAACACAAGATCGAAGGGAAAATATAGAAGTAGACCCTTCATTTGCACCAGTGCAGAGTGCTTCCTTCTGCAACACCACTCTTATGTTAGTCATGTTTAGAATCCTTCAAATGGATTCGAATGCCCCTGGTTTATACGGTATAACGGCAACCTTAAACTACTCTCAGTTGGATTTGGCCACAGGTACCAATAACCTTCGTAGCTGACGGCTAATCAAACTAGCTGGTTCTCCTCTACCCCGAAGCACGTTCTTTATTTCATTATGGGCTACTGTCTAATCTAGTTCTTCATACAAGATTCCCAACTCGGCTAAACGTTGATGAGACAATGGTAGAGAATTCCGACTTGGGATGGGCGAAGAACTACTTCAAAATCACCCATGTCAGTTGGCTTCTGATACACTTTGGCTCTTAGATTCCCACCAGTCTTATGTGTCATACAGTATAAGTGTAGTGTGTCCATAGTGGACACTATCTATATGCTAAATTTGATGTGGGCATTCATGTCATTGAGGTAGTGGTAAAATTCACTAAATTTTTCTTGTTTAATCGCGGCAAAGTGTCGGGATTATCTAGAGCGGGTACGAAATCCGACCCGGCAAAAGTGTCGGATTATCTAGAGCGGGTACGGAAATCCGACCGAAATTTTCTGTACGAAATCTTTCATAAAAATATTTGCAAACCTGGGAATACTGGTGATACCGTTGCTTACCTTGTTTTCGAGCATAAACTACAGAGTCAAAAATGAAGTGAGATTCAAGCATGCTTTTTTATTCCGTCTACCTTGAGCTGTGTCTGTTCTGAAATAGATGTTTGTCGGGTGATAGAAACTGCTTGCCTGTTTCTACAGTCCATTTTCGGCACATTTGTATGTAAGGAGTTGACTTCGAGGTTCCACGGGTAAACCTACTACTTTGTTGGTAAATTCGTATAAATTCATAACTCGGGTAGTGATTTCCGCTTGAGGGGTTTTTGAATACTTGCCAAGAGTGCGCCTAACCATGGGATGCGGAAACTATTCCGTCTACCATCGGCCTCATGGGAATTTTCTGTAGACCTCAAATCCATGGTTAGGTTGAACCTTTTGGATACAATCGGTAACGCCCACCTTGTCCTTAATGGTGTATCACAGGTACCAATTGCCTACCAACTTCAACTTCACTCTTATTTACTCCAGACATGATGTTCCCACTATCGTTCAACCGGTAAGGTCCTTCTAGTATGTGTTATTCGGTCTTAAGTAGATAATCTCCCCCTATTCATTATAATAGGGATCTTACAAAGTCAGTCGAGCTGACACGTCATGTGCGATTATTAGCGAAGGAGAGTCATCAACAGAAATGCATAAATTACACCACCGGAAGTTCCACGTAATCTCACTCACTCCCTAATCAATGTGTCGTTACACTTACAAACCCGCGCAGACTAACAAAATTTGCTGGCGGCACCCAAGAAGACTCATTTATTTAGTTGTCTTGAACCGGAAGATGAAATACCCAAGCCTGGTTAAAATGGACCGTCAGATTTAGATACCTACACTAGCTGACAGGACATTTCGACCTGAAATTCGGTTTTGATATGCTGTGCTAATCAGAAGAGATCCATCTGATTGGTCCTTCGTCTGTCTTAAAATTCGGCCATTCTGGTAACGTATCACTTGGCCACTAGCTGACAGGACATTTCGACCTGAAATTCGGTTTTGATATGCTGTGCTAATCAGAAGAGATCCATCTGATTGGTCCTTCGTTTGTCTTAAAATTCGGCCATTCTGGTAACGTACTCACTTGGCCTGACGGAGCTTTTGTGTCAAAAGCGAAAATTTGTCTAGCAATAAACTCACTGATCTGCTCACCGAGCCTTTCGAAAGGTAGCCTCTCAATGGGTTCCAAGCCTTTTCCAATTGATTTAAAAATTTCCTTTAGAGGTAATTGTCCCACACACACACACACACAAAACTATTTTCACCTGTCTTCAGTATGTTTTGTTGAGTCTCCAATTAACAGCTTGTATTGAGTCGTTACGCAGTAAGTTCAAAACCATGGGAAAAGAGAAGTGATGGAAGAAAGCAATGCTATCACACCTGACCGCAACTCCATTACTCAAGGGGCTAAACCAATAGGCAGGTGGGATTGGTATGGGACACTACTAAGGTGAAACGTCTGAAAATATGCTTACTAGGTTGAAACCGACTAAGTTTTGCAACTTTGTCATCGTGCAAAAATTGAGGCTACCACCCCTTACATAAAAAAGAGATATTCATAAGGAAACGCCATAGATTTGTCTTTTGGTTAGACATACCAAGATTCATCGGACAACCATCAACCTTTGGGAGAGTGCCCTCTTGACAGCCGTGATGCAGGTTGTTGGTGTAAAAGACAGGCCTTTAAAGTGAACAAAAACAGATTTATTTCTTTACCCCTACCGCTTTGTGACTTATGTTCGGCTACATTCTGCTTTTTTACATATCTTCTGGGAGAAGAATAAAATATCATTTTATGAGCAGTGAGAAAAACCAACAAGCAGCTTAAGTAGATTCTCTAGACTTTCAACTGGTTGGTGTATTGTGAGGCTGACACCAAATATCGCGCAGCTCGCATGCCAATGGCCTAGGAAAGCTGCGGCGACACAAGCTAATATCCATGCTTATAGATACCTGTGTTTTCTGTGCTTCATTGTTCGCCTACTGGTAATCTCAACCATGACGGCTGGACCACTCATCTTTGTTAGGGTCTCGCTGTGGAGCCCCAGAGAGAGTGGGAAACTCTTGTGATCTTCCCGGAACTCATCGATGTACTTGATATAGAGTGTAAGTTTCGCCCAGACCAGTTCCATTTTCGCATTGCTATTTCTTTTAGAGTTCTTCGTCTTTGTAAAGTTATTTTTTTATTTTCGATTTGTTCGTTTTTTCGTTTTTTTCTTTCACTGTGTTTTGACTCGTTTGAAAACTGTCCCACAGCTACCACATGCGGTGTCCAGTCAATTTTACCGTTCTGTTTCCAGTGTTTGACATCCAATTCCCAGGTTTCATCACGCTTTCTTGTTTGGTATCCAAGACTCGAGTTTTACCCTCACGGTGGTCAGTAGCGCATATCTTCAGTGTCACTGGGGTTCAAGCCCTAGTCCTTTGGTATGTGTAGCCCTCACACACTTGAAGCAGAGGGGTAGTGCGCCTAGCGGTACAGTAAATCAAGTCAATGAAAACAGACGAAAGGCACCTTTTTGCACTAATTATGAAATCTATATCTATACCATACACTACAACAATCTCGCTCTTATGGCCACGGGGTTTATTTTGCATAGTGTATGCCGACAAGGATTCACCCGACTCGAGTTTGGATCTTATTCAATCTTAACAGTTGTGCGCCTGCTTCTGTGTAATAGGCTTAGAATCCAAGTCAGGGATGCCCCCGTTTGCCGGTACTTCAGCACACTATATTGCACGCAACTGAACGATCTCTGTCAACGGAATAGAGATTTTCCTATTAGAAGGATTTGTACGTAAATGTCTGTGAATGACGATTCAGCAGCGCCTCAGGTATAATATTATCCCGATTTCCTGATACCCTGGTTCTTTAGTGCCGTAATTCAGGTAGGTTGAAAAGACAGATGAACCACTCGGTTTGAGTACGGCCTTTTTGGAACTGTTTCAAGAATGGTGCTCGGTGAGGTACTAGAAAAATAAACACTGCACTTACAGAATATCGTGCTCATGAGGCTGCTGGAAATGCCTACTGAAGCCAGATTAGTGTTCAAATGAGCGCAGTTCGCTAATCGCATACAGTTTAGGTTCAGAGAGTACATGCTTCGATATTTCGAATATCGTGGTGAAGCATGAGGTGGCTTTTTGCAGCCTGTTCAGCTGATGAATACCATAGCCAAGAGACTCATCTGGGCTTCAGTTAAGTCTCTCGTTAAAACAAAATTGGTGTGCAAATGAGTGCATTTCATGAAACATTGTTTCGGATCTTACTTCGTACGTATACCTGGGTCTTACCCCTTTAAGTTTCCGGTAAGAATGTTCAGCTAACAAACTTAGCAGATGTGCTTCAATATTAATTTTTCCCTTTTTGTAGAGAAACCTCCGCAAATGTTCCCGCCTGGAATGTCTTTTCGTGTGCACTCCTAGGGAACTGCGGTCCAGTCCTCTCATGAAACGTTCCACAGCTTGAGAAATTTGAGATATTTCCTATTTCGCTAACCATCCAATAAAGGGGTGCGTTTTCGAGGGTTCCTTGGAATTTTCACCAAACACCGCATGATTGAATCTAGCATTTGGTTCGTTTGTCTGAACATGCATGAGATTATGCTAGCACTGATGCAAAAATAAGTAATTCATCGATTCCTACTATCCAGACTGCTTTCCTCGCTTGTAAGAAATAACATCACTTACCTAATGAGAAGAGATAACTGCTATCCACGAATATATCACGAGGCTCCAATCCCTTCATTACGGCCTCACGGTGAGCTTCGCACATGCTGTACATCTCGTTATTCTTCACACCTTCCTATGCTATGTGTGACGCCTATCTCACACTGAATTTCTTTCCCACTCGTTGCTGATTAATATGTGGTAGGCGTAATCAGTCCATTGGCTGATTATGTGGTCGTGACGAAACTGTTTCAGATGTTCCATTTTTAGTAGCATTGGACCCTCGTTGGTGTCACACCATAAGAGTGAATAACATAGAGCATGTAGCTCGGGGTTGCGTTTCCCAAAGCCTGTCCCGGCTTTCTGGGGTATGTTTTGTCGGTCTGAAGGGGGGTTGTATACTATACTACACTACACTACTCTACGCTATACTACGTTATACTTACGACACGTTGGTTGTCAGCGTACTAGCGTGAACAGAAAGTTAGTGCTTGTCTGCACTTGTATCAAGTCATTTTACGACCCGATAGCCTCAGAGTAGGAGCGAATTGTGATGATAATAGAATTCAGACTGCGGCCGCCGTTCTATTTACTGAGCTGAGCAACCTAACTTTTTAGCTTCATGAGCGGACCGACGACATTCTGCACGATTCCTTCAATAGCAATGTTTGTATGCAGTCGATCACCCCTATGCATCCAAGCGTTAAACAAATGATCTTGGATGGGCGGAAAAATCGACCGTGTTTTCCCGCAGATATTTCTTTTCAGAGTTATTCTCTGTCTACTATCCTTTTTAACTCCACCTTTTTCTCCACCTTTTTCTCTTCAGCTCAAAGGGATCTTCTTGTGCTGAAATTCACAATGTTGGAACCCATTTGCGACCTATGCGAGTGGACGCCAGACATCAAAGGCAACAAGATCTCTGCTAAAATCAACCCGTGCTCCGTGAACCCCAAATTCCTATCCATTCGGTTTCCTGAAGAGGTGTCTGACGAGAAACCAAGTGGAGCTCTGATCTGCATCCTAAAGCAACTCCAAAACTTGGTAAGTTTTGGAATCCTTCGATTCGCTGCTCGTTGAGAAACCGTTCCTCTGATTCAATAACTTTCCGTAAGATTCCCGGTTGATAGTAAAACTGTGTTTAGGATGCCTGTTTGTCTTCCACGGTTCCATGGCTTATGGGTAATCTTTTAACGAATCTTGGAATGCAGTCCCGAATTTTCTAATGATTGTTCGCTGATGTAATGTCGTTTTAAAAGCTGTTGATAACTTTGGAAGCAATACGAACGCTTCCACTGTATCCTGGTTTCAAAACTATGTGTCGAATTCACTACACCTACTTATTCTTGATGTCATTGTTATTTACTATTGCACGTTTCGCGCTTTGCTCACCGTTCTCTTTATGACATCGTTTCCAACAGTTCGGTTGCAGAAGGCTTCCGTTTGCGCTATTTGAAACACTTCGCCAACGACAGACATCAGATGTTTCGGTGGAAGTTGTTGGCACTCAGTTTGAAGATACCCCAGAATTTCTGATTGATGCGATAGATTGGCTCAAAGACAACATGGAATTAGCAAACATTTGTTTAATTCGTCTCGGCCAGCCTTCTCTTCTGTAATACGTAAAATGATGCTATAAATTTCTGGAACTTTACAATATAAAGTAGGAAATGTTCAGAGAAGAAAGCCACACAGTCTGTGATGTACCAGGGTCTAATGGAAGAATATGAGTACTCGGGTGTATTTGTGTTCCACTAGTTACTGATAAATGAAACAGCCGTTTTCTCTCTTTTGGTTAAGATAACTTATGTTTCATGACATCTGCTACAAACTCACATCTTAGCAAGTTGCTAGCCCCCCAATTGTTCGGCACCCCTCACTATGCTATGACTCTTGCCGCATTAGCGAGAACATGAGTAAGTTATGGGTTGGAGAACGTCATGATCCCTTCAGCCATTCAATCAATAGATAGAACACCCTCCAGCTATACGTTCTTAAATGGATGAGTTTCAGCACCCGATGGGATGGATGGACCATGAGCCTAGCGTTAAAATAGCTTGATTTGTTGTCTGAACACACTGCTAGTTGGTTTGCTGAAAGCTCTTGGATAGTAGACGATCCCTTTCGCCATTTATGAGTCTCATAGGAAGGTTGCAGTCTTCGAGCTCCCCTCAATTAGATAGATAGATAGATAGATAGATAGATAGATAGATAGATAGATAGATAGATAGATAGATAGATAGATAGATAGATAGATAGATAGATAGATAGATAGATAGATAGATAGATAGATAGATAGATAGATAGATAGATAGATAGATAGATAGATAGATAGATAGATAGATAGATAGATAGATAGATAGATAGATAGATAGATAGATAGATAGATAGATAGATAGATAGATAGATAGATAGATAGATAGATAGATAGATAGATAGATAGATAGATAGATAGATAGATAGATAGATAGATAGATATAGATAGATAGATAGATTGATAGATAGATAGATAGATAGATAGATGGATATGTAGGTAGGTAGGTAGGTAGGTAGGTAGATAGGTAGGTAGATAGATAGATTACGTTAATTTAGATTAGATAGATAGATATTCATGAAATACTATCATTTGCAAACTAATCTGACGTTATACGGAAGCGCTGCTTATAAGGTTTTTGAAAACTGTTTGACAGCCCATGACCGGTTTCGCCCTTTTGGGGCTCCTCGGGTTGGCTGGTTCTATCTCATTCCAGTGGTTTGTCAGTTTCCTAATTCATCTGCTTACGGACACTAGTTCTACGTGATTTCTAACCTAATCTAAACCTTCATCAACTACTCTCATAGATTAACTTAAACTTAATTTATAAATGAGTGTATTCCGCTACTTGCTTAGTTGGTTTTAGCGGGATACCTACTAGTGCAGTACATTCATTTATAGCATACCATAAACGTGAGATGCGGGTTGGTTGAACTGAGTCTCCCGTTAAAGCCAATTAAGCGGGTAAATGAGCGCATTTCGTGAATTGCGTCTCTGTTGGATGGAAGTGGAACGTAAGGGTGATGGGAACATAGAGCCTGTGCTCACCTGGTGAGGTATAAGAAAAGCGAAACCGGTAGTTGGCTATCAAGAGCTTTTCAACAACCTTGTGAGTAGTTTCCTTTATGAAAACATCACTAGTGTGTTCCGTCAAGAAAATACACCTCGATATCCCGAATATCGCACCAACAGCAACACAATGTGGCCGTTGTGCAGTTCACTTGAAGAATGTCATCAAGAGGAGATTCAGTCGAGTTTTGTGCGCACCAACTTCGTGAATGAGATTATTCCACCAGTATCTTTTATCATACTTATGTCTACTTCTCATGTATTTTCAGTGTTCCCTTTATCAATCTTCAACTGGTACCCAAGAACCATTACCTCCTACGGACACCCATGAGCATTTTAGTGCTATGGCGGTTTCGCCTATTGCCGTGTGTCCATGGGGTCTTGATGAGTGCTTTTCAACTCCTTCGCACTTGAACGAATCCGGGGTAAGTTGGCTCCTTTCAGTGATGTTGAGTGATTGCCAACTCACAATGAGAGGTCACTTCCCAATGCGTAATACGCTCGAAGGGGACATGGTTATTTTTCGCTCACTGGGAGAAATTAGTCTAGAAATATCAATTTTCATTCCCATCTGACGATGTCATATTAAAAAAAAACATTTTCAAGCATCTACATACGGGCCAGTCCACTGCTTTGCTATGGGTTTGCGAAACCGATGGAGAACCAAGTCATGTTGGCAAAACGAATTTTCCCTTCAAATTGCGTGTACGTTGCACATGTTCAGGCATACACAAATGTCTCTTAAGGTTCTTTCGTAATCATCATCATCATCGACATCGTGACATCAGCGTTCAACACCGATACTTAACTGCCGTACAACCGGCGACATCAATAAACTTCGCTCCCTGTGCTTATGCATTAAAATGATATTTTGTCATAAACCGATATGTCCTAACTGTAGCTCACTTGCAATATTCCTATTACATTTAGCATGGCTTTCAGGCAGTCGTGGGAGTCCGGAAAGTGCTTTTGAAACTTTCTGATTTGTCCATCATTTTGGTGTTTGGGTTCAAATCTGGATGTGGTCTCTCGCGGTTAACGTGGGATTCCCGGTAGTGTTGAAAATGAACAGGTCTTTTAGCGTTTAGTTGTGTCTAAAAAATGCTGATTCCCCCACTGAACTTTCTACACTTCTACACAAATCGAAAGCCAAATCGCTTTCCCCCGAAGATTCAGGTCCAAAACTGCTAGCTGTATAAGCCATATAGGATATGACAAAACTGTGGTTTGCGTTTTACAACTGGACGCGTATTGGTTTCAGGTTTAGTTCGTAAGGTCGTCTAGGTCACAAAACCAATGTGGTAAGGCATTTCACCAAAATTTGGACCAAGTTCCTCAAGAATAGCCCGGATTCGGTGGTATCGAGGCGCATCGGACCGAATGAAGTCTACCGTAGGGCGGATCAGTTTCAGTTTCTGCACATCAGGCGCGCCCTTCTCACCAACTTTCACGCACTGAAGTAAATGTTGATGAGGACCCGGTTTTCCGTGCTTTGAATATATTCTGCAATCACTTTTTCGACTATCACGAGAATGGGGACTAATTCTCCCATAAAGTAGCCCTCTGACTTGAATTCATGGTTGAGATCTATTTTACACGTCAATTTTGGTCACACCAGGTGTTCCGGCTATCGGTTTTTCATCAGTTTTCCTCTCTACTCAAATGTTCCTGGCGAAGGACCACTTTTTCAAACAGATGAATTTGTCTAGTTATGTGTTTAATTACCTCTTTGAATTCGGTTGATCTTCGTGTCAGAAACTGTTTTCCTTTGGTAAATAATAAGGTATGCTTGTTTATTAGTAACTAGAGCCTAGTCTCATTTTCGGCAAATCTGTTTGCGAAATGATCAACCTGTGATTCCAGATAACAGAGTTCATATTTTGTGAAACACACTGTCAATAAATTTTGCTTGGATGGATTGATGTCTCGTCTCACGGTACTGGTGAAGGCAATACCTCTTGAAAGTAGTCTGTTTAATTATTTCCTGCGAAGGACTCCTTAGTCCTAGACGTCACATACTACTCATAAGGTTGTTGGATTCTCTTCGAAAGCACACGGCCAGTTTTTTATTTCTTCGTCGGGTAGGTGCTGTCTCCGAATTTCCGTCAGCCGTATGTTCTCTATAGGTTCAAATCTAGCAGAATTCTCCAAATACTCTCATGTGCATACCAATTTGGTGCTGCAAGTAGATCCAACTAAATCCAACCAAATCTCTCGTTCAACTGAATGTGCTGCACTAAGCTGTCTCATTTTTCACCGGGTGCGATATTCGAGGTACCGCGTCAGCGGATGGAGAAGAAGGAGGACCTATCTACCGGGGATGAGATTTCAGTGCATTCAAACTGGTTCATAACGTGTCACAGTTGTGTCCGACTGGCGTTGCGTTTCGCTGCGGAAGTCTGGGGTCCGTTCACTCGTATCATCATCGTCATCATCACTGACAGCAACACCAGATGAGAACATTGGTGCTTCACTGCCGTCCTGCATTCGTCACGTATCTCTGGCAATCCGAGCGTTCAGCTCCGATGGCGAGTGGTTCAAGTGGTTAGAGCACACATTTACCGACCGGAAGTGCTGTGGTTCGAATTCGATTTCCGCCTCTCGACTTCCTCCGTCTAGGCTTCGGTAACCTTGCAGTATCCCAGCCCTCGTGCTGCCTTCGGGTAGCATGGCAGCTAGGCATCAGAAGGTGTTACAGCTGATAAATTCTTTTCCAGCTCGCATATTGAATTAACGTACACCTCTAGTGAATTACTACATGCAAACGTGGAAGACGTCAATCCTAAGTTTGTAGTCTCCGATAATATAATCTTTGATACAACTGCCACTGTGAGTGGCCTGAGTGACCGCTTTGTTGGCTTCGTATTATCAGTTTCCACACTGCAGTGATCCACACTTGGCATCTAAAAAAATGTCGGAACCATTGTATGCAAGCAGCAAGTTTGTGTTTAAATACGTTTTCCCGTAGAATTTTGGCACTGAAACCGAATATTGAAGGAGTGCCCTGAAGGTAAGACTCATAAAATTTGATTATTTATTTTCCTTTCGTTCTTTCCATCTCGGCGAAATAACTTGATAATTTAGAGCTCCCTATCAAATCTAAACATCCGGGGGCCGAACCTTGTGAAGGGAGTAATTGCCTGCTCTCCAGTTGTTTGCTACGTGAATGCCTCATCGTCTTCGGCACACTCTGTTTCATCGAGTACTCCAAGTTCTGAGACTTCTGGGAATCCAACAGGATCATGTGGATGTGGGTTAAGAAGCGCGAAAATTCCTGATCATCAAGTGATCACACTGGATATTCCTGTCCCATCCAAAGCGCAAGATTTCTCCGATCTAAGGTTCTCACACAAATCCTATTCTATACACTCATCGTCCTCAAACAGAGAGGAGCATACCATCTCAGTTGATGATAATAATGGAATCGAAATCATCGGAGAAAGACAGAAGAATATTCAGCAACCCATTAATGTGATCGAATTCACTTCTCCAACGGAGTCTTCACCAGAAAAGAAGCGAGAGGCGTAAGTCTTTTTAGCTTCTGGAACTACAGTTCAATCCCATCATTAAGCAGTCCTATATTTTTGAGGAAGCTTGGCCAGAACCGCAAATTCAGCGTCACTAAGTTTATTAGCTAACCTTTTCTCCACCTCATTATTAGACCTTTGCCGCACGAAATGGCAAATGGGTGTCTGGCAATGAAAAAAAGACGAAGAAACCACTGGTCAATAGCTAAGAATACTCAATAAACCGATTGTTTTCACAGTGCCTGGTTGAAATTTTTGTTGCTGTTTACGTCTAAAAACAAACCACACTGTTTCCACGCAACCTACTGTCAAGATTCTAGGATCCAGGCTTTTAAAGCCTCCTATGAAATCGTTTTTCTCCAGACCAGTCTGAACTGGTTTTGGTCGTGCACTCAGTCAGTTGGAGCATCCTTGTCATCGTCCGGGTTTTGATAAGCTTCTCAATTGACTATCTTCTTTTGTTCTAATCTTCACAACGGTAACGAACGTCACTTGGTGTTTACTGCCGCTTTCGGGCATAGCAGCTATGCACTGAGTGTCACAACGGTTTTTTCTTGTCTTGTATGTTCGCATAGCAGCAAGGAAGGTCTTAAAGCTTATCTGATGGACGTAAGTAGTTAGCACTTACAGCCCGATGACATTTCGAGGAATGATCGATCACGGTTTTTTTTATCCCCAATCATCCAAGCGTTTGAAGAAGTTTACATGCTGCCAACCGTTGGTTGAGGTAAGACGATGGTATTCCTTGGTAGTTTGTTGAGTACACTGGACAGCTGGATGGATGCATTAACACTTAGCATGTGCATTTCATCATGTAATGTCGTATGTCTGCCTCTACTGTATTGGTTTCACGATGTGGTCATGGCTGTGTGCCACTGATACATTCGTTAGTTTACTGATTTCACCCCTTTACTGGACTACTGATAGAAGCAGGAAAGTTGAGCTGTAGCTATCACTCTGATCGACAAAAACCGATGCGTGTATTGTATGGGGAACAGGAGAGCGGGTGTTGCAAAGTCGACTGTTTTTGCGGAGTCCAGCGTTTATGCGATCATAAGGGTAATATTATGATTAATTGCAGTGTAACTGGGGTAAATGAAACAAACGTTTTTCCTGAACATGCATATAACCCTATGGTTGATAGTTTGTTCTACTACCGTTTTCTGCTGACAGTTCATTTTACTCAGCAAGTTGGTATTTCCGTCATTGCCATTGTTACCATTTTTGTCTCTTTTTCAGTGCCCTTCACACATCCCCGGTTGTCGCATTGAGAGCAGCGGAACCAGCCATTACTGGTTTTGAGTTTACAGGAATACGTTCAAAGGATGCACGGCAGTATGATGTTGAAGAGAGTGTCCCAAGTATGCTTGTGGCTGTCATAATTGTTTCCCTGTTTTTGACCTGTTTTTGAAGATAATTACGATTTCTGTTGATTGTGTGAGGAAACGTTGAGGATAATAGTGCAAAGCCGATTAACTGGGGGGTAGCCAAATGAGTTAGTTTTTGTTTAGTAATCACAAAAGAGTCAACCTGCCCTCTCATTTGGTAACTTCGGTTCTGATTGATGAACATCGTCTTTTTACACTTATAGAACCTGCTTATCAAATTCACACCCCTGTGGTACCTTCCATCATGCCTTCCGACGTTTCCGCAACCAAAAGCATTGATTCCGAACCCACGGTAGTAAGACCCAGCTCCACACTTGTCCCATCACATATACAGCTTCGGGAGCTAATCGTGAGCTTGGACCGATGTGTCTTAGCACCACCGAATGTCGTTCGAATTTCTCCGTCGACCTCGGAAGTAAGTGTTTGTGCGCCTAGATGACAAGGCCTAGCGACTTTTTTTAACTGGGCAGTGAGTCAATCATCTAGATTTGTGTGTTCCGAAGCGCAAAGTTGTTCACAGAGTGGTTATGAAGTTTGGCTTCAGCGCGTTAGCTGTGTTATTCATCCGCATGTGCTCTATTTCGTTCTGTCGGTTAGCGTTACCGAATCAACCTGTCAGTCGATTTAGACGCTTTCAGTACTTAACATATGGAGGACTGTCTCTGCTTTTTTTAAGGAACATTTGGGAATATCCAAGATAACTGATGTCCCTGCAGCGCAGCCTTCAGCTACATCCGAAGATAACGTTATCCACTTTCTGTTTCCATGTCTGACGTCATAATACTTCCACGTTGGTCTTAACTGATGACAGCCAGTGCGACGGAACTGGGGCGACATTGCCCGCTGGACCAAGTTGGAAGGTCGTACAATGTTATAGCAGTGGTTCCTGACACTATGGTTGAATACCTTGTTCCACTGTAATTCGAGTATTCCACTTGAGCTTGATTAGCCAGACATGTATGAACCTAGATTAAGTGGAACATAAGGTCAACGGAAACTCGAGCCTAATTGATGAGCCCCGAGAAGTACGAAACCAGTTGTGGACTGTCGAGGAATTTTCGGCAACCCTATGAATAGTGTATTACGTCTAAAGTTCTGTTTGTTTATCCTCTTGGCTGATGATTAGCCAATGCCAAGTACCAACTCGACTTACCTAAAACCATTGTCCACGCACCAACCACCTTCACGTCTTATACTCAATCTAAGGTGCTTGGCCATCTCTACTATCTCCATTAGCATTTGTTGTAGTGTAAGTGTTAATTTATTCTGTCCGGTAGGCAACAAAGCTTGTCCCTTCTTTTCCAATGTTCTCCTAACTTTCTGCCAGGTAATAAAGAGTGTGCAACAGCTACCCACCGAACTATCGACTTCATTTACCATGGCGAACGATCATCCACCGAGGTCATCGGTGATTGCTTCTCCCATGCAAGGCATTTCGTCCCAGCTATCAGCTTCATCGGATGGTACACCAGTGTTCCTGAAAACTCTTGGTATCTCATCGTCAGCCACCACCATCGGCACCAAACCGAGTCGGAAACTGTGCAATATTTCACATTCATATTTGGTAGACTCATCTCCATCGGATATCCGTTGTCCACTGACACCAGCCGAAACGACAGGTGACTGCTTTTCAGAGTTGACATCACATAGTTGGGCTACCGTTGTTCCGCCCAGGCTTACAATAAACGACAGTTTGCTTCGTTTTATCTCATCCATTTTAATCTCCGTTTCATCTCTTAATACTTCACTTTGGTATTTTGTACCCTCACAGTGATTTCACTGCCAGCTCTGAACACCGAAGTACGGTTACCGCGTCGTCCAACATCACACCTGCATACAACTTCACGGCTTCGTGTCCCTAAACTTGTCCAATGTGAGTGTTTTACCTATGCCCCCTTTTGATACACCTGCGCTGATTGTCAACATAGGGTCCATAGTACAATCCTACTTACTACCGTTTATGAACACTTCTTCACTGGAGTGAACCAATGTAGTTGGAATTTCAGGTCGACACGGTGAACAGTAGGTGTCAGTAAGTGTGGTATTCTTCGAATTCGTTTGGACAATCCTTCCTTTACCCTGTTACCACCTTTGTAATTATTCTGCACTTCCGAAGGAAACACTGGGCTCGCGTTTTTCTCTTATTAAAGCCACCACGCATATCCCTGGCCATAATTCACATTGACATATGGGCGATGTGTTGGAGATACTGTACTATTACAGGCTAGTGTTCCCAAATTACTGCGTATGAACACGCTGAAGCGATGTGTATGGTTGACCCAGTGCTTCGAATGGTCAATCTGAGCCGTCACATCTGAAGAGACAAGGGAGTGGGGACGAACTCTACTACTCACGAGCAGTGAGTCGAAGCTGTCCGTTAGGCATCTGTATGGTATTCTGATTAGGTAGCCTAGGCAGATCAATCTAGTGACACAACGAGGATGACCAATGGATCTTTTCTCAGCTGTTACGTCCACTATATACACCGCTCAGGGTTTAATATATGTACCTATCTATGTGTGATAATTCAGATGAATTTAGCTTGTACTGATGCCTACTTATATCCTTGGCGTTTACAGCCATGTGTATGCATGTCTAATGAGCTCTGCCATGGATGAAAATTGAAGCCAGTAGCTGTGTGTGGTATGGAATGACCAGAGTAATTACACTAGGACAGGAGTAGGACTTCAAACATATCTAGTGGGGACCTAGGTTTATACATGTGAAAAAATTGTTATTCTTTACGGCTTGACTGAAATATCAATAACTGCAAATTAGTTGAGCAGTCAGACCTAACCGGTAAAGCGCCCGATCAATGCTGTTAAGCCTATTTTTGCCGCACCGATCTTCTGTACGTCTTGCATTCGTCTTCCGTCATTTCCAGCTCCGTTGCCGTTGTTTTTGTTCAGTCTTCTACCACGCAAAATGTTTTCTTTTTAGACCACTCTTTGGTTCTGTCGCAGTGTTAAAAATGACATACCTTATTTTCCGTACCACTGAATTTGAACCTAATCATTCTGGGTACTGTTCAACCGGTAGCCCTAGAGCTAAGAACTAACTGTGCGACGTTCTAATTTAGGTACCATACTTCTTAGCTTTTCATGATGGTGCATTTATGAACGCAAAATATTCCATTGGAATAACTGATGAGTATTAGGACCCTACGTTAGCACCCTATGCATAATCCACAGGTTGTGCTCAAGGAGCTGATCAACCACTTAATGTCACCTAAGGTGACACTGTCAAATTGTTTTATTTGGTTCACAGCGCTGATGCACTATCTCATGCTCGAATGCTATTGCTAAAAAGCACTAATCGCCCTACTTGCTCTCTTTGTTTCTTAAAACATCTTCATGGTCGTCCATTCTATAGTTAGAATTCCTTCTTAGCAACGTTGATTAGAAAGGCATACAACGAACTGCTAACGCTGTAGTAAGATTGTCGTGACTCAGTATGATCTATTTAGCTACCAATGTCTTTCCCTTCTTCAACACTAGAATGATCAGTCTAAACTACAATTGAATGGCCATACAGTCATTCGGACTGTTTTTTCACCTTCCACAAAAAATTTGCCCATGCTGATACAGTTAGAGGTTGCTGATCTGAGTCCACCTTCAAATATCCTGTTGTTCACACTAGACTTCGCATTTCAAGTATCGCTCACAGTTGGGGCATTTTTAATCCACCGGTACAACTTCGCATCCCAAAGTGCATGATTGCATCCTTATCAATGACTGCGAGAAGCTTGGGGTTCAGAATCACCCCATAAGTGTGTGACAACACATTGGACTCATTCTTGTATTTGTGTATTACCGCCTCGTATTTGTCTCAAAACGGATTTGATGAAGATGGCCCGCACCTTTGGATATCGTGATTCCAGACCATGCACTTCGTTGGTCCATGAAATGGTTGAATCCATGTATCCAGCAGACCTGTTGCAGTCCAAGGAAGGTTCCGTTCCCTATATGTAGGTACTACTGTGATGTCAGATTCCACACAACGGACAAAATCACCAGTTGTACAGTGAACTAAATTCGCCTAATTTGTTTTCATGGCCACATCGGCCGCAACAAAGCTTCATTTCCAGAGGTTGCTGAAAATTCCTTGACCGCCCACGCCCGGTTTCGCCCATCCTGGGGCTTATCAGGTAGGTGCAGTCCCCGAGTTTCTGTCAACCTCATGTCCTGCTTGAACCCAAATTGCACGAAATTAGCGAAATACACCCATTTGCAAACCGATTTGGTTTTGCTGGGGGCTCACCTAGAATCCAGCTGAACGGGCGCTTCAGCAAATAGTTTGCAAATTAGTGTACTTCGTTAACAGTTGTATTTCGTTAGGCAAGCAAACTTGAATCCTGGGAGTCAGTCTTATACTTAGTGTTTCTAAGCTGCGAACAATAAGTCCACACAGTAAATAATATGAACTTCTGTCTGACAATTCTGGGCTTCATATTCTGACCCCTGCGTCATGCAAGAACCTTCTGGCCAAAATCCGCATCATTGCAGTGCGGATGGGCGACAGGTTAGCAGACGACCAGTGTGCGACTAGCTCAAATCACCTGCTCTGTCGCGTATGTTGACGAGTACATACAAGCGCGTCATTGGTAGTGAAGTGGCCGCTCAATATTCCTTCTCACTTGATCGCGCACTGATGATGCCCTCACAATTAATGACGAAATGTTTTTGCAATCAACTCGCCAAGCCCATAAAATGGGCCAACAACCACCTGAGCTGGAACGAAACTTGTCTCCCAGATCTATGGGGTAGTATCCACCGTTATACTATTATTGGGTCCCCAACTTCTAAAGCAGCTCAGCACTGCACTAGAACGAAAAGTCAGATCCACCTCTAAACTTGGGAAGATCTATCGTGAAAATAAACTCTCAAGACTGGTTGACAAAGAGGAAAAGGAAAATAACCGCTATGCTTGAATAAAGAACCTCTCCAGCAGGCAGCTCGCGAGTGCAGAACAGAGCGTTCTGATAAAAAGACTCAATCTCAACTTCAAAGATACCACTAACCTGGAACACCTAGCTATTCTAGAAGCAGCAATAGGCATGTTCAACTTGGCGAGGACGCTCAGAAGCATTCCGCCAAACCATAGTTCCAGTCATCACACGCAACAAAGCACTCACCGTTTGTCAAGCAAAGATGCAATGAACAAGCTAAAGAAAGACGGGACAATCATCAACTAACAAGGGATGCCTTATGGTTATTGTAAACAAGTAGGACTACATCAATAAAGAGGAAGCACTACTCTGTCGTACCGAGGATGATGAAATCAAGGAACTTGCGAAAAGAATCAATAACAACCTGGGGATATTCCAAGAGCTTCAAAAAATCACTAGAGAAGAGTATTGGGAAATGATAGCAGTAGACCCACTGTCCATATCGGTAGACCTGGACCTCTTTAAGACAACTGTCGCCGAACTGCCTGCCAGACGGAGTGCCAAGTGAATCCCTAGAAAAAGAAGTCCTCTGAGAATTACTGGGCTTGTGCCTGGCCATATATTCTGAATTCCATTGAGAATACTATGAACAACTGCGAGAAGCACTTAAGGGATTTCCAACTTCTGGCTTCATTACAGCAATCGCCCTGTAGAAGCTGGGATGGATTGTACTTCAAGACAAACTTCAAAATATGGATTGATGGTCTATATTCAACCAGTAAACAACGTTTCTGATTATACCCAGTTCATAATAGAAAAAGAAACCACTACAGAACGGGCACTGTTAGACATCCTCATCACGAGATTGTAAAATGGACAACTGAAATAGATGCCTATACAAAGGTGGCTTATACAGTTCAAATTCTCAGCTGCCACCGCAACCACGTGAACTGTCACGAAAAAACTGCATCCGGTCTTTTTTCAAACGTATTGAGGCGTACTGTGAGAGTACATAATCAAAAGTCAAAAAGAGAAATTCATGTAATCTATTGATTCTCACTACGTTGTTTCAATAAATCCTAAGACCAGGGTATTTCGAAAATTAATTTTTAAGTGTAATCTTTAAAAACAAGGACCACCGGATCAGATATCGAAGTGCGAAAGCAGGATCATCAGATTTGTCTCTTACATTATACTTTTCTGTGACACCTCGGCGCTCAAGTAAAATGTCCTTGTCAATAGCCTTTCTCAAGGGAAACATTAAGATTGGATGGAACATCAATCAATTTTGAGTGTCTTTCTTGCAAGTGGTTCTCACCCTAAGAAGTAAATCAACCCTATTGGTACTACTAGGCTTTTATCGCAATGCGGACCGCTTGATATTAAATTTTGTAGTTGCTTGGCTTAACTTACATTCGTAATAATCTTCTTCCCCTATGAAATGCAGAAAAGTTTTCGTATTTTGATTTGTTGGTCATCTGACCCCTCCTATTCTGTATAGATCGCTGTCAATTTGCCATCATCTGTTTTATCATGGAAGCCTGAATTTAGTGTTAGACAACTTGAACTTACAATATATAGACCACACCACCTTTTCTACCCGTTCTTAGCCTTAGCTGAGGAGACTTCAGATGACAAGGAACTGTCGAAAGACCTCCAACCCCCTGCTTCGCCTTCAGATAAGTCAGACCCGGACTATTGTCCACTGCACTATTCTCCACTTACACCTACCTCTGCCAGCCAGAAACGTATTTTACGCTCGACTTTCAGAAGACCTTCAGGTAACACAGGCTTGGAAGAACCCAACCCAGCATACGTGGAGTCTACAGAGTCGACGCCAGTATCACGTCCACCGACCACAGATTCACCTGCAAGAATTTGTGACTCAAAAACCCCTAAGCGTTCGGCCGTTCGTGATTCCCCATTCGTGCATCCCGTCTCCTCCTTGAAGAAGCGCCGTTTCTTCACCTCTTCTCGGGCTGAGCGACTGAGCCGAGAACAGAAGCGTTTTGAGGGGGCTTGCAGAGTGAAATCTACCATTTCGCATCCGGCAAATCAGAAAAAAGCAAAAGCTAAAAGTAAATCATTCGGTGTCGAAACTACAAGGTCTTTTAATACAGGCATAATTAGATATGTTATGGAGATGATTACCTCAGACATTTGAGCGAATCTGTTCCGGAGCAAGCCATCCGTTAGCTTTAGGCGTTCTATCTGATAGAAAATTCCTTTTTGTCGCAACGTTCTCTCGAAGAAGTTTGATCAGAGGTTGTCCAGTTTTATTCATGTTAGCCCGTAGTTTTTTCTTGACATGCCGCATTTTTGCCCTGGAACCTGTTCAATTAGTTTTCAAACCATAGCGTTGCTTTTTATAGCTCACTTGTATAACCGATATGTTGGGGCATATGTCAGTCAGAAAATTCCATCACAAACGCATTATTTTTCTGTGACGACAGTTGAGAGACTTAACGAAAACCCAGCATTTTCGCTTACCTCGGCCATATTACCGTGGTTAGGAAGGCACTCAAAGCACGAGCCTACTCCATCCGTTCGGTACACGAAGAAAAGGGAGGATGGTTAGAAAACAAATCGCCTACCTTTGTGATACATACGAAAGGTAGCTGCACGTTTCTACGTGGGTCTGAACATCTACCTAACGAACTCCCAAGTGGTGGCTCCCTTTTTAATAGGGTAGTTTAGATGAGCGCACTTGTCGCTGTGAGAGGCTATCGTTTTCTCCAGAATTCGATCACTTTTATAATATTCCAAAATCCGATTTTTTTTCGAGATCCTAATGGAAGTGAAAAGCTGTAAATCTGGGTTCTTTTTATGACGGTGGGAGTTGAACCTAGACTCCATAAAGTTCAGTTGATAATTTAAGGAGAATTTTTGTTTCACTCAGAATCTGTTCTTGCCACCCAAAACGTTGCGCAGAAATTTCTAACCATAGAGGAGTCCTTCAAAGACCATGTCCGAATCATCATAATCCATCGACACCTTCCGTGAAAGGTTACTGCTGTCCTGAAATCCACTGATGCAGATCTTGTACCCTGTGAATCCTTTGCTTCACTAGAATCATACTAACATCGCGGGAATTTTTTATCGGTCGCTGACTGATTAGCACGTTAGTAGTGTCATCTGCGCGCTCATGTTGGGTGCAATCACGAGCAGACGGCGCACTAGACCATGTCTCTGTTCTGCCGATCGCTTAGCGGCAATTCTTTCTCGACATTTGAGATAATCTTTCGAGGACATCATCAACGTCAGAGACAGCAACACCACCATTCCTACTGATGCTCCACTGTCGTGCAACCAAAAAATTTATCTCATTAAATTCAAAGCAGTAGAGTAAAAGGACGACAGATTATTTCATGAAGCAGGGGACCTGGTACCGGCTTTTTACGAGCATTCCAAGGTGCCTGCACCTAACATGACAACATAACCGTTCAGCTGTAACACTTCCGGTGCCGCCCGACACGAAGAGACTGGACCTTACCGTGGTGTGGCGGTTTGTGTACCTCGGCGACCCATTGAGCTATACTGGGGGGTGTCCGCGCGACACTCACAGGGTCTCTCATACCAGGTTGGTCAATGGTTAGAGGTCAGACGAACACAGTCTCCTGGTCCTCCAGGTTGGGGGTTGGAACATGTATGGCGACTTGTTTCGTAGAAAAGGTAATGCATTTGCATTTCCCCGCCAAACACCGCTGCCTTGCGGTTAGGCCTTTGAGCCAAAGGCTTTGGTTGAGGACCCTAATCGTCCTCCTGTCTAGGTGTGGGCGTCCTGGCAGTATCCCAGCCCTCGTACAACCATGACCTACACAACTAACAATATTCTCATGCCACATCGGCCGTCGCGTGGTGCCATCAGCCGGGTCGCCTTACTTGCTGCATACAGCAGGGCGGGTAAGCGAAAACATGCTACTGCTGACGCCTCCCTTCTTACACTTTCACGTTTTC